AATTTACTAGATATATGTTTGTCTGGTATATATATAAGTATTATTCTTATATATGTATTATTCTTGTAGAACTTTCGTATTTATAGAAGCTTATTGTATTTCCTTTTAAAGCAGATTGAACGATACAGGAAATAGTTAAGTCAGACTGGTGACCAAAGTTTTTTATACAAACTACATATTAAGTTTTGCTAGATGTTTTATCCTGAGTACATTTAATGTTGTTATTTTATAATGATCATGTTGCTACCATTTTATTTTTTATTCAGTTTTTGTGTCATCATAAACATTGTTTTCTTGTTTGTGCCATGAGAAAGGTAGTGCTACCAGCCCTACACGGATTAAACTAAAACATGTGGGTTTAATTGTCACAGTTAGCCTCTCACGTTATATAATAGGGGTGCTGTAATGAGTTTTTTTTTCGTAAGCCCCCCAGTGGCACAGCGGTAGTCTGCGGACTTACAACACTTGAAACCAGGTTTCATGATGGGCAGAGCACAGATATCCCTTTGTGTGGCTTTGTGTTTAATCGTTTTATTGTTACTTTTATTAATAATATTGGTTATACTAGTTAGCATATCGATTGTAATTACTTTTTATTTTCACTTGTTGTTTATTATTATACTTTTATAATAAATATTATTCTGCATTGTTATCTTAAAATTTGTAGCTAGAACTAACCTAGATCTTCTAAGCTGGCCGAACCTTATGAGATATTATTGGGTTTATGGCCGAAAACATCATTAACAGCAAAGCTATCCAAATCAACGCATTCTAATCATTATAAATAGAAACGTAAGAAAAGTATATTTAATCAGCTCTACTGATGGCCAGGTTGAGTTTGAGTTTCACTTTAAGTACACAGCTAACTCTAATCTAACCTTATGAGATATTATTGGGTTTACGGCCGAAAATATCATTAACAGCAAAGGTATCCAAATCAACGCATTCTAATCATTATAAATAGAAACATAAGAAAAGTATATTTAATCAGCTCTACTGATGGCCAGGTTGATTTTGAGTTTCACTTTAAGTACACAGCTAACTCTAATTGGATATTATTATTTGCAAAAAATGTCTTTCATGAGTACAGTTGATGCAAGAATATATTTGTTCGTAATTTTCGACAGCCGGTCAAATCCAGTGGAGTTAATAGTGGCTCCTGATGAAAGAGGGAATGCAGAGGGATCACTTTTCTGGGATGACGGAGAAACCTGGGGTAAGTGTATTACGTGATAATATACTGTATATATATATACAATACTTTGAAGTAGAGGTAAGTAGAAAAGAAGACAGATGCAAAAACCTGTTTTAATAACTGTCAAGTTAATTCTTCATTCATTCGTTTTGGGAGGTAAAATAAATATGGGGTCATAAACTTCTCAGGGGGTGGGATAAAACTGTAGAAAAAGTTCCATGTACACAGCTAGATTGGCTGTAAGTTAAGTTTGAAAAAAGAAGTTTTTTTTTAATTGATGGTGTGCCAGTGATTAATTATTTAAAATTTTCTATATGCCAGTAATTTGCTTATTCTTAATTTTTTGTATCAGCTGAAAAACAAATGAAGGAAATCGCATTTCTTTATAAC